GCTGATGTACTCTTCCTGCAATCAAGTCCAAACTCAAACTGTAATTTTAGAAATGTTTAACAGGAGGAGTAAAATAAACCTAGCAACGAATCTTGAGTATTTTTTGTGGATATTCAAGATTTATTTTTTCACAATTTTATATTTTAATGTTAGATTTTCATCTCATTATTACAAGGCATATAGTACATATTTTTTCTCTTACTCTTTTGCAAAAACGAAAAAAAATGAATTGAATATGAAAAAAAATAAAACTCCAGCTTGTTTCCACCTTTCAACTGAGCTGGCGCCTATAAAAAATGACTAACTTTTGTTGATGTATGAATCGGCGGGGAGTCTATTTATCAGCAGGCCCTCTGCGGTCGCCCGCTTGGGTCCCTCAAGCCACAAGCCGCGTCGCTCCCCTTTGACTGATTAATTAGCCAATCAGAGGACATTTTTCACAGGGCGGCAGAATGGTTTATTTCAGCTAATGCCGGGCTTTCGAGCCGAGGCCCGTTGGAGCCTCGTCGGCTCTTTCGGACTGCCTGAGTGGCTGGGCAGAGGGGCGAGGGAGATAAATCAAGCTGGGCTAGCCCTCCATGTGGCTCCCCTAACTAAACCCCCTGAGGAGGGCACAGAGAGCAGGGGAGGTGGAGAAGGGGGGAAGGAGGAGAGCAGGACGGCCAGGGGCACTGCTCGCCCGCCGATAAGCTCAGGGAGCACGGGGGGTGCCAATGTCCCTGCATTTAAAAGGGGCCGGGCCTTTTTGATATCTCGGCAGAGAGAGCCTGTCGTTTGTCATGTGGTGAGTAATTGTGTTTAGGGAAGAAGAGGAGGCAAGGGATGGAGGAGGTTTTGCATGTGTAGGATGGATGATGGATAACAGAAAGCCCAATAGATGGACAGGTGCTACAGAGCAACACACATCAGACACGGTGTGTAATTAATGGCTGCCCTAAGCGTAGTTTTTTAGGTGGCTAAACAATAAAAGATAAAGCAGTGGGTGAAGTTATGGCCAACAATTTATCTTGCTTAGTTAGCCACCTGTGTGCGGCAAAAAGCCTTGCACCTGTAAAAGAAAGCTGCATGTCTTCAATGAATAACTATAATAAAGATGCTTAAAATCTCATACTTAGATTAACTAAATGTTCGCATTTGTTGGAGTGTACAGCGTCTTGCAAAAGTGTCGTTACCCCTTCAATTTGTTTTTTAAATACAATATTTTGTTAGATTACAACCACCAATTGTGATGCATATCACTTGAATTTTTCATCACAAATTAAAAGAAGTTAGTAAATAATTGTGGAGTTGAAGATGGGTGATAAAAAGTTGGGGGTTTGTTCAGATTTAAAAACAGCCTTTAGCTGCTTTTTAGCTGCAAGCTAGGAACATGTAGATACAAAAGTATTTACCCATTCTTTTTTACAATACAGCTTATGCTCGGTGAGGGCGACAGTTTTAAGCTCTCCTCTAAACTCTGAACTTTGACTGGACCATTCCTAAGACATGAGTGTGTTTGATTGAATTCATTTAACTGCGATTCCACGTTGGGGCTGTTGTCCTGGCAGAAGATGAACCTCCTCCCGTGTTAATAGTGATCTGCAGCTTCTCACAGGTTTTCTCTAATTGTCCTTTTGATCTAACTCTAGACATCTTTTCATCCCCCTCCAACCAGTTCCCCTGCCACCTCTAAGGAAAAGTTTCCCACCAGCATGATCCTACATGCAGGTCCAATCTAAACATTGGGTCTCATCTGACCAAGGCACCTGCTTTCACACGTTTCCTGCAGTGGGGATTTCTTATTGCTTTGTTTCAACTGTGGTTTTCTCTGTCACTTCTTAAAAGCAACATCTGTGGGAGGCACAACTGATCACCATCCCTTCAAATGATTGAGAGCCCTGTCAGTTAAGGCGTCTCTAAGGGTTTGTAGTTGTGTCATATCCCTTTTTTAATTAACCAAAAATATGTTCACTGTACTGATTTGAAAACTTCCACAAATTTATCCCTGACCCATTAGGTTTATTTCTAGATCTTTCCGACAACGTTCAATATCAAATAGAGGCCTAATCAGTACACTTTTTTACAAAATGATTAATAAAACTCAGGTAGTCTTAAATTAGACATTTATTGTCACCTGAATCTGAATTAAGACATCTGTGAAGCACTTAAAAAAAAAATCTCTATTATTCAGTATCTAACTTAATGGCTGGAATTTTACTATCAATTTGATATTGGCTCAAGTGTGATGTTATGTCATGATAGCTAACTGTTAACGGCTACATGTGAAAACCGGATAAAAATCTGTATATGTTCAAATGTTATTTTTGACTTATTCAGTGCTGCCTTTGATGAACAGAGGACAGCTGACTGCATGTGTGTGTGCACTTGTCTTCTTCATGGAGTGTTGTGCAGAGCGATAAGGGGTGAGCAGGAAACATCACTGCGGAGGAAGGAAAACACCCGCTGTGGGGGGGACTGGTGGAAGGGATGCTGGAGAGACAGTCGTGGGTGGTGGTTGAAGAGCTGGAAGATTCATGAAGGGGAAAGAGAGCAAGTCTGGAGTAAACCATGAAGAAAGCTTCCGGTCCTCGCCTCACCAGGGCCGACATATGTGTTACAGCGTGATCAAACACTGTCGACCCCTAAATCCCAATCTGTATATATCATTTTGCAGCAAACAAATTGCAGACAAATTCGTAGATCAGGCAAACAGCCTAAATCCTGATTGGTCAATCACAGTTCTTGTTATTTTCCACAAACCTTAGATGTTCCACATGGCCTTGTGGGAAACTATTGTAATTGTTGCTATTGCTTTCAATAGGGTCAATGGTGTCCCTCCTGGCATAAAAATAAGAGCGCATAACCGAACGATTAGGGGGGAAATCATGGTGTGTATTGCTTGTATTTCCAATGTTAATCAGCTAGGGAGCATCCCCTATTGTCATGTTATGGCAGAGCACCTACAGGGGAATAGAGGGAGGTTTTTGTGTACAATTTATGGATTTCCAAGATGCCAATTTCCTCAAGCCAAGTGTTGAGATAAACAAAGGAATCCCGCCAAACGTTTTTTATGAGCTGCTGTCCAGAAGGTAGATATGTCACAGTCCTATTGGTTATCTGTATTTGGGCGATTAAACTTGAGAAGACAACTATTTGGTGACATCAAGATTTATTCATTCATAAGACAACATAAAGGTTTGCAGTTTGTTTCACCATAAAACACAAATATAAACCAGTAAAATCCCGAGTAATGTTAATTTGCCACGTTTAATCAAATGTGTTTCCTGACTAAGCAAAGTTCAGCACTAATTATACCAAGTAAACATGTTAAAACGTGTGTTGGGGGGTAGTAAGATATACACTACGTAGTTCTAATTTAACAGTAATTTTTAAAGTGCTACTTTAACACTGCAAAATTTACTGTGTGTAACGTCAAGTAATAGTCATCATGAGCGAGCTGTGTTGAACGTTAAGATGTCACAACGATGAGCTAATATAAAATGCTCTTTGGTTGGTTGCCAACACAAACAAGCAAAGATGGCATCAAGCCTTTGGAACAGGTCATGAAATTATTTAAGTGACTAAACCACTGAAATTTGAACCTCCCATACCTATTGCTACACAAAGCTGAAGGGAAAAAAAAACAAGTCCAAGCAAAGTGCAAATGTTGCAGCTTGAAAATTTTCTTGTCAAAAAAATTACTAGGCATTGTACATAAAAAAGTTTAACAGATATGGCATCAAATTATTTATTTCAGACTATGCTTTAGCGTATATTGTGCTGCTCCAATTAAAACCAGTTGCAAAGTTCTAACTGAACTGGTGGTTAAGGATCCATCTGGAGGCATACTACCCAAAAACAAGTCCCAACGAAAAGAGGTATTATTTATCTTTGCCGATGTTTCTGTATAATCCAATACCCTGAACATGTGATAAAAAGGAAAAGATGTGAAATTATTTTTTCAAAAAACAGGAACATTTCAGTTATTTTGTTATTTTTTCATGGTATAGTTCTATTATTTATTTTATTCAGGGTTACCCCAACAAATTAGAATTTTAAATTGTAAATTATTAACCAACCCAAGCTTTTAAAAAGTTACCATAATAAATAAAACTTTATTTGATTTAGTAACCTTACAGTTTACCAAACTAAGCAATATAATCACTCAAAATATAGGTATGGTAATCCATAAAAAATAAAAAAGAATAACCATATTACATAAGAATGATATATAATAAAATGTCCATCTACTGAAAAAAATCTACTAATATCCTCAACATATAAGGTAAAAATGGAAGCTGGGATGACCTGAGCTTGTCAGTTTCTGAAGTATGAGACCCCAACTATAGAGTCAAAAGGCAAAGTGATATCTGAAGTGACCAACTCCTGATGCCAAGAGCAAAGAAAAAAAAAGTTTTTTTGTGGGCAGCATTGCTTCAGATTTTTGCAGACCTCGACATAATTTGGATTTTTCCTTGAATAATCCCTTCTGGCAGGCACATCCACCTGATGCGACAGTCTGAGACAGAAGTAGAAAAACGAAGAAGTGTGAAGGAAGAGACGAGTGAAAATCTCTTAACTGGATTTAACTGCTCTTGCCACCATCAGTGGCCCGTTGGCAGCGTTAAAGCTGTTCACAGCAACATGGCTAATCTTTAGCCAGAGGCAGCTCAGGAGCTGGGCCCTGCAGAACCCGAGGGATCTAACTACCAGAGTGACTGTTGAGGACATCAGAACTGATGGTCACCAGCAATTACTGAGGCAGATAATTCTAGCCACCTGGCCAGAGGTAAACCATCTCCTTTCTGAGTCCTAACTTTGTTTAGGTTAAGACTGATCAAAGACCAACTCACTTCATTTTTTTAAGAGCAATAAGGAGTAATTAACACTCAGCATCACAAATATTATGATAAATGTTGAATATTTGATATTATATTTTCATCTGAAACAAGAACTCAAACTTTAACCAAAAAAGACAAGCTTGGAATTCATTGTATTTAAGCATCAAATGTTTTGCTTACCTGCTCCTGGTCTTTAATGGACCTGGCCCTCTTCCCAAAGATGCAATTAAGGTCTGTTTCACTACGGGATGACAGGTCTTTACCTA